GGGTGCGTATGTGGCAGAGGTGGGTGCGTGCAACATACAGGGCAGAGGTGGGTGCGTATGTGGCAGAGGTGGGTGCGTGCAAGGTACAGGGCAGAGGTGGGTGCGGGCAAGGTACGGGGCAGAGGTGGGTGCGTATGTGGCAGAGGTGGGTGCGAGCAACGTACGGGGCAGAGGTGGGTGCGAGCAACGTACGGGGCAGAGGTGGGTGCGGGCAACGTACGGGGCAGAGGTGGGTGCGTATGCGGCAGAGGAGTGTGTGCAAGGTACAGGGCAGAGGTGGGTGCGTGCAAGGTACAGGGCAGAGGTGGGTGCGTATGTGGCAAAGGTGGGTGCGTGCAAGTTACAGGGCAGAGGTGGGTGCGTATGTGGCAGAGGTGGGTGCGGGCAAAGTACGGCGCAGAGGTGGGTGCGTGCAAGGTACAGGGCAGAGGTGGGTGCGTATGTGGCAGAGGTGGGTGCGGGCAAGGTACGGGGCAGAGGTGGGTGCGTATGTGGCAGAGGTGGGTGCGGGCAAGGTACGGGGCAGAGGTGGGTGCGTATGTGGCAGAGGTGGGTGCGGGCAACGTACGGGGCAGAGGTGGGTGCATATGCAGCAGAGGAGTGCGTGCAAGGTACAGGGCAGAGGTGGGTGCGTGCAAGGTACAGGGCAGAGGTGGGTGCGTGCAAGGTACAGGGCAGAGGTGGGTGCGTATGTGGCAAAGGTGGGTGCGTGCAAGTTACAGGGCAGAGGTGGGTGCGTATGTGGCAGAGGTGGGTGCGGGCAAGGTACGGGGCAGAGGTGGGTGCGTATGTGGCAGAGGTGGGTGCGGGCAACGACCGGGGCAGAGGTGGGTGCATATGCGGCAGAGGTGGGTGCGTGCAAGGTACGGGGCAGAGGTGGGTGCGTGCAAGGTACGGGGCAGAGGTGGGTGCGTGCAAGGTACGGGGCAGAGGTGGGTGGGTGCGTATGCGGCAGAGGTGGGTGCGTGCAACGTACGGGGCAGCCTTTGTCCTCACACATCAGCTGCTTGGGGTGTATGGAGAGATAAGGATACATCCAGTGACCCATGTCTTCATTATGGAGGGGTCCTGGGGGAAGGCTCAGCTCTGCTCCCTCTGCACTGTCAGTGCAGGACCACATTATCTGTATAACACACAGACCGTATATACACTTTACATCTAGATCTGCGTGTTAGAATTCACAGAGGATTTATTGTTCTCACAAATATGTTACCCAGCTGATCGAAGGGAGGAGATCTTCACACAGGGACAGGTTTGATTTCTTGGCTGACCTTATCTCTATGTAAGACAGTCATGTGGCAGCAGCTACTGAAAGGTGTTTATGTACTAAGAAGAACAGCTTCTCCCCTTCAGTGTCAGGGGTCTCATATTCTAACAAGTGTGGGGAACTTTAAACCTTAAAAGAAAGAAAAAAAAAAAGCATGCTTTTTTTGTTTTTTCACCTTTTTCAGTGAGTGTTGATGCTCATGTTGTTTAATTCAGGTATTTATTCAGTGGGGAAATTATTTCATCCCCTGCAGATTTTGTAACAGTGCCCACTTAGAAAGCAATTAAGGGTCTAACATTTTTATCATAGGTGTATTTTAAAAGATTGACATAGCATATCAACCAAAAATCCAGAAACAACACATGATACAAATGTTATAAATGGAGTTGCAGTTCAGTGAGTAAAATAAGTATGTGATCCCCAAGCAAAACATGACTTAGTACTTGGTGGAGAAACCCTTGTTGGCATACGAAAAGGTGATATGTTTCTTGTAGTTTGTTACCAGGTTTGCACACATCTCAGGAGGGATTTTGGTCCACTCATTTAAAGTTTCTTGGATGTCACTTGGCAACTCGACGGTTTAGCTCCCTCCATAATTTTTCTATAAGATTAAGGTCTGGAGACTGGCTAGGCCACTTCATGACCTTAATGTGCTTCTTCTTGAGCCACTCCTTTGTTGCCTTGGTATATTTTGGGTCATTGTCATGCTGGAAGACCCATCCATGCCCCATCTTCAGTGTTCTGGCTGAGGGAAGACGGTTCTCATACATGGCCCAGTCCATTGGCCCCTCAATGCAGCAAAGTCCTGTACCTTTAGCAGAGAAATGGCCCCAAAGCATTGTTTCCACCTCCGTGCTTGACTGTAGGGATGGTGTTCTTAGGATCATAGTCAGCATCTTTCTTCCTCCAAACACAGCGAGTTGAGTTAATGCCAAAGAGCTTAATTTTGGTTTAATCTGACCACAGCACTTTCTCCCAATCCTTCTCTGAATCATTTAGATGTTCATTGGCAAAATTCAGACGAGCCTGTACATGTGTCTTCCTGAGGTGTGGGACCTTGCGAGTGCTGCAGGATTTCAATCCATGGCAGTGTATTGTGTTACCAATGGTTTGTTTGGGGACTGTGGGCCCAACTGCTTTGAGATCATTCACAAGCTCCTCCTTTGTAGTGCTGGGCTGATCCTTCATTTTTATTATAATCATCCGTACCCCATGAGGCGAAATCTTGCATTGAGCTCCATACCAAGGGCGATTGATGGTTATTTTGTATTTCTTCCATTTGCGATAAATTACTCCTTCTCACCAAGCTTCTTGTTGATGGTCTTGTAGCGCATTCCAGCCTTGTGCAGGTCTACAATCTTGTCCCTGACATCCTTTGACAGATCTTTGGTCTTGCCCATGGTGGTGCCCAAGAGAGAATCTGTGGACAGGTGTCTTTTTTTTATAGACATAACAAGTTGTCATTAGGAGCACCTTCTTAAATTGACAGGACTAATCTGTGTACCACATGAGCACATAGCTAGTCTGTGGGAGCAAAAATTATTGTTGGTTGGCAGGGGATCAAATACTTATTTTACTCATTGAACTGAAACTCAGTTTATAACATTTGTATCATGTGTTCTGGATTTTTTATTGATATTCTGTCTCTATCATTTAAAATCTACCTATGATAAAAAATTTATAGACTCTTAATTTCTTTTGTAAGTGGACAAATTTACAAAATCTGCAGGGAATCAAATTATTATTTTTCCCACTGTATGGTGCCAACAATTACACAACACTTTACATATTGTACATTCACATCAGTCCCTGCCCTCAGCGTACAAGCTAAGGTCTCTACCTCACACTCCTACATACACATAATAGGGCCAGTTTAGAAAGGAGCCAATTAACCTACCAGCTTGTCTTTGGAGTGTATCTGGTGGTAAACCCACACAGGCAAAAACATGCAAATGACAATGTCCTGACCAGGATGTGTTTTTAATGTGTTTTTGTGCGTTTTTCATGCTTGCACCTTTGCAATTTAATGCTCATGTTGGGACATGCTGAAGTGCATGGGTTATCAAGGGCATTGTAATATAGGCTATTCACATCTCTGCGATGCAGCACTTTTTTTTTCTCGTTTTGAGGCCCATTAAAGTTAATAGTAAAGCATGATGCATTTTGTATGTGCTTTTAGCCTCTGGTAACCAGCTTAATTTATTTTTTTTTTATTGGCCAACTTGAAAAATGCATGATACATCAAAATGAATTAAATACCTACACCTGTGCAAAAATGAGTATCAAACTGCTCAAGTCAAGTTTTTTTTGTTTTTTTTGTTTTTTTTTTTTTTGTTTTGGATGGAGTCAGAAGAATTACAATATCTTTCTGGTTTTATATCTTCTCTGACCATGAAAAGAAGGTATAAGCTGCAATACAAAAAAAATTGTCATGCATTCTAAGTAGTGGTGCACTGAAATGAAACTTCTGGTGCCGAAACCAAAGCCGAAACTTCAGGATGCACTTGGCCAAAAACTGAAATGGATAGTTTTTAAAAATGTAATATATTTTTCAAACTCCTCTTTTTGGGAAAAAAATACACTTTAATTATTAAAAAAAAAAAAAAAACACAATATATACTCCAATTTTTTGGTAAAAAATGAAAGATGATGTTACGCTGAGTAAATAGATACTCAACATGCCATGCTTTAAAATTGCTCGTGCAATGGCGTCAAACTACGGTACTTAAAAATCTTAATGTTTGATGTTTTAAAAATACAGGTTACCAATTTAAAATTACAGAGGAGGTCTAGCGCTAGAATTATTGCTCTTGCTCTGATGTTCATGGTGATACCTTACGTGTAGTTTGAACACTGTTTGCATATTTGGGTGTGGCCTACGTATGCGTTCACCACTACTCGAGAGCACGGGGGGCACTTTAAACTTTGTATATTTTTTTTTTTTTTTTTTTCTTGCGATGTTCCTTTTTAAAAAAAAAAAAAAAAAAATTTAATCATTTTTATTACTATCGCGAGGAATGCATGTATCCTTTTGTGATAGAAATAAGTAGTGAGAGGTCCTCTTTATCGAGAGATAGGGGGCCAATAAGACCCCACATCTCTCCTCTACAATGTAAAGCATTGATCTAGTGCTGGATAAAAAGTGCTGGTAATAGCATTTATTTTTTAAGTAGTGTTTAGGAACATTAGCAGTTTGTTAGCATTTTTACAGCACATGTAGAGAGGAAAAAAAAACTAGAAAAAAGCTGTTAGGAGCATTTTAGCAGCGTTTTTTTTTTTTTTTTTTTTTCTGCTGCAAAAATGCTCCTAAATACTCTACAAAACATTTTTTTTTTCTGCTCCTAGACGCTGAAGCTCAAAAAATGCTAATCGCCTAAAGTAGTGTCCATGGACACATAGGATAACACTATTTAGCTTCTAGGAGCAGAAAAAAAAAATACTAATAGCTTCTAGGAGCTTAAAAAAACGCTAGTGTGCATATGGAGCCTTATAGTTGGAGCTTACACAGAGCTAAGGACTCTCTGCCTGCCCCAGTGTGATAGTACTGGTGCCTACCATTGTGGGATAATCTCGCATGTTTTCCCATTCACTTTAGGCAGAGTATCAGGAGAATGAAAGGAAGGTGAATATACACTATATTGCCAAAAGTATTAGGACCCCCCCTCCAAATCACTGGATTCAGGTGTTCCAATCACCTCCATGGCCACAGGTGTATAAAATCAAGCACCTAGGCATGCAGACTGCTTCTAAATACATTTGTGAAAGAATGGGTCACTCTCAGGAGCTCAGTGAATTCAAGCGTGAGACTGTGATAGGTTGCCACCTGTGCAATAAGTCCATCTGTGAAATATCCTTTCTACTAAATATTCCACGGTCAACTGTTAGTGGTATTATAACAAAGTGGATGCAGCTGGGAACACCACAACTCCGCAACGAAGTGGTAGGCCATGTAAAATGACAGAGCGAGGTCAGCGCATGCTGAAGCACAGAAGTCTCCAACTGTCTGCAGAGTCAATAGCTAAAGACCTCCAAACTCCGTGTAGCTTTCAGATTAGCACAACAGTGTGTAGAGAGCTTCATGGAATGGGTTTCCATGGCCGAGCAACTGCATCCAAGCCTTACATCACCAAGTGCAATGCAAAACGTCGGATGCTTGGCCCCTTAGTTCCAGTGAAGGGAACTCTTAAGGCATCAACATACCAAGACATTTTGGACAATTTCATGCTCCCAGCTTTGTGGGAACAGTTTGGGGATGGCCTCTTCCTGTTCCAACATGACTGCACACCAGTGCACAAAGCAAGGTCCATAAAGACATGGATGAGGGAATTTGAGGTGGAGGAACTTGACTGGCCTGCACAGAGTCCTGACCTCAACCTGATAGAACACCTTTGGGATGAAATAGAGCAGAGACTCAGAGTCAGCCCTTCTTGTCCGACATCAGTGCCTGACCTCACAAATGCGCTTCTGGAGGAATGGTCAAACATTCCTAAACCTTGTGGACAGCTTTCCCAGAGTTGAGTTGAAGCTGTTATAGCTGGAAAGGGTGGGCCAACTCAATACTGAACCCTACGGACTAAGACTGGGATGCAACATCTCCAAGATATGCCCGTTCTTAACCTCTGAAACTACTAAGCTATCCCTTCTTCAGTCTATCATGAATGCTGCTGCCAGACTCATCCACCTTACTAACTGTTCCATATCTGCCATCCCTCTCTGCCAATGCCTCCAGTGGCTTCCCATTGCCCAACGAATAAAATTAAAAACATTAACAATAACATAAAACCATTTATAACTCTGCCCCAAATTACATCATCAAACTTGTCTCCAAATATCACCCAAACCATCCTCTCCGCTCCTTCCACCTGCTCTCTAGCTCCCTTGTCTCCTCCTCCCATGCTCGTCCCCAGGACTTCTCCAGATCCTCTGGAACTCTCTACTCTCTCTATCAGACTATTGCCTACTCTGCCCACTTTTAGGCGATCTCTGAAAACAGATCTCTTCAGGGAAGCCTATCCTGCCTTCATCTAATAACGGAATCTTCTAATCCTTCTACCAGTCCATTCCCCACAGTATTACCTTTTGGGCCACCAGCCCCTCCCTCTTAGATTGTAAGCTCCAAGGAGCAGGTCCCTCCTAACCCTCTTGTATTGAACTGTATTGTTGCTGTATTGTCTCCCTTTTTATTGTAAAGTGCTGAGCAAACTGTTGGCGCCATATAAATCCTGTGTAATAATAATAATTAAAGTTCATGTGTGTGTAAAGACAGGCGTCCCAATACTTTTGGCAATAATAGTGTATATGGTGGCAGCCAGACCTTAGAAGGAACAGAACACTTTGCTCTCAATGAGCAAAGGTCAGGTTTACTTAAAACTCTTCTGCAATGTGCTTCTGATTTGATCCCAGTCAGTATATACTAGTTATTGCAGTGTAATCGGTGACAGTGCCAAGTCCAGACTGCAGTAGTCAGGATGTGTAGAATTGATCCTTCGTTCAGTTGTGTCCTTTGAACTTGTCAGCAGTTTATTATTAGAATTGAACAAAGTGCAGCTTGTGTCATTTATATATGCCAGCTATGTGGCAGTGAATGAGGACATCTCAGCCAGCCAAGACAGCAAGGTTTGTCTTATAGCTGAAGACACCTTTTTATTTCCATGACCATTGTGTGCTGAAATGTAGAAAACCTGAGGGTTTGCATGGCTTTGTACGTGACAGATGTCCTACAGTCAGTGATTTTTTTCCTGCTAGGCTGGAAAGTGTGTTTTCTGCCAGAAGAGAATGAAAAATGATTTGGTCTTTCCTTCTGATAAGTTCATTATTAGATTTATCATTGGCGTTGTGTATTTAGTTATCACTGTGTATGGTTTATTAATATTATGGGTGTATTGTAGTTTGGTACATTTGACATTCTTTGCATACTAGAGCACAGGGCATTGGTGTCCCTATCTTGTTTTCAGACCCCATAACTGTCTCTGAGCAACCGGCAACCTGGATGATTAGGCTTGTTTAAATATAGACTGAAATCTGAGACTGTGACCTGTTAGTCAGGAGCAAGCAGATCTCTTCAGCATTAATCTGTGCATTCCTTGGCTAATTCCTCCTGTTCATTTGGCTGATGAGTTTGGAAACATGAAGTGACAGTATATGAAAGGGAAGACTTTGTATCTTGTCACATGGCACAGCATTTGTATATTTAAAATGTTTTGTGTTCCACTGTCTTTTTGGAACATGTTCAATTACAGATTTTTATATTTGAGAAGTAACCTAATGCTTGCTATAATAATTGTTTTTTTTTTGTTTGTTTTAATTTTTTTATATTGTGTATACATACGCCTTTGTGCTAGTGATTCTATATTTAATATAATTGATTGAAAGGTTCTAATGTACAACAATAGTTTATTTGCCATGCACTGGCTTGGGTGGATGTTGAAATTGTGCCTCCCTTTTTTCAGTTGTAAAAACTTGACAAATGTTTTTCCTTGTCGTCATCAGAAAAATTGTATTATCCTGCATTCTGTGACCCCAGTGGAGAGATGGCCCCACAGGGTGAGGAAGAAAATCTCCACAGTATGGGAAAAGATGGTAAAAAGCTGACCGAGGTTCTAACCCTTCCCTAAGTTGTCCAGAAATAAAGAAAACAAGGCAGATAGTGTTTAGGTTTAAAGTCCTGCTAAATGTTGTCTCAGCCAATGAGGAGAGAGACACGGGAGAGGCGCTGCTCTTGTGCACATTTTTGGATCGGGATGGAGCTCAGGTAAGTATTGTGGGGGATGAGGGGAGAGAGAGGTTTTTTTACCTTCATGCATAGAGGCCTTTAGAACCACTTAAGGGCACATTTTGACATAATTTTACACAGTTCATTGTTATGCCACTGACTGAAGCAGGGTATACACTTATAGTTTTTGGGGGGTTTTTTAACGAAAAAAAAAATCCCTGCAACCACACAAGTGTTTGTGGATGCAGGGATCTCCCCTGTTCAGCTATTGTATTTGACAGGTGAGCTACCCCCTATCAGAATATACTGATCAGCGTTGGAGCCATTGGTTACATTCCCTGATGGAATGCTGGTTTTCCACCGAGACCTTCGACAGAAGCTGGCCATCAGATCAGCTTCTGTTGAAAAAAACAGTGGTACCCAGAGAGCGGCTGAACCAGCTGCTTTTCTGTACATGTATATCTTGCTTTAATACCTCTTGCCGTATATAAATTTGTGTGTGCGTACTTGTATGCAGGTTTGAAGGGAATTGTCACCTAGAAAATGATGTCTCTGAGTCTGACAGAAACTTCCAACTTCAGACTGCATGCTGGTTGCAGGACACGGACTTCTTTTCTGACCGACTAGGTTCAGCTTTACAGCTTTTGTGACAAGTATGCAGTATATGTCAGACTCCTTGGGCAGGTATTTTATTTTACAATAGAGTGATATATCACAAGGGGTAACTGGATTTTCTTGTTCATCTTTTACTCTTTTGAAAACTTCTAACGAGATTAAGACATAAGAAGCCAGGGGGAAGATGACTCAAATACTTTTACATGCATTTCAGAACGTCTAGTTGGATATTACATTCCGGAACGCAGTGTAACACTGTATTCTGGTCTTAACATGAAACACAGAAAATTATCATTTTCTGTGTGTCTGTTACCTGCGTTTTTCCATTAGGATAAATGCAGGTAACTGTACATAGTATAAAAAAGGGCCCTTAGAGCCAAGGGAACATACTTTCTGCTGTATGGAAAGCTTTATCACTGTTGTCTTTTAGTTTTTAGAAATTAACTTTTTCTACTCCTGCTGTTTTTTTGTTGCAGGTAGTCACTAAGGAGCACGCTGTATAGAAGCACAAATACACATAGGTTAGTTGCAGAACTTTTTCCCACGTAAGTGTCAACCACTATCATGTGCTGTGTTGTGTTATAACTGTAGTGTCTACTTTGTTCTTAGGTTTATCGTTACCTGTTTGGAACTTTACCACCATCTGATCTGTTAATGAGCAATTGTACACTTCTTTTAATACACCGTTCAAGTCATTTCCTCAGTGTAGGTGTGATCTGTTAATGGTTTCCACAGCATTATGAAGCGGTCTAGTTTTTCTCATATAAACCAGCATATATATTTATTGTTGCATTTGTGTTTACTAACTTAGCGACAATGCAACATGTAATAGAGGCAAAAAAGCAGATTCAGCATGAATGTGAACAGACGCTTCTTTCAGAAAAGTTTGGTATTGTTCATTTGTTTTAAATAATACATACAAAAAGCACATAGGTTAGAATGAGTTTTGTCATTTTTGTCCATGCTCTGATTGGGTGCGATAAATGTAACTCACTGAGCTTAGAGGTATTACGCCATATATTTTCAAAGGAAGCCAACCAGAGATTAAAATGACAATTAAAGAGTACAAATGACTAGAAAAAGACTTGGGCATTGAAATGGCACCAACAGTTTACACAGCGCTTTACCTCTTCTCACATCAGTTCCTGCTCTCAAGGAGCTTACAATTCAAGGTCTCTAACTCACATACTAAGGCCAATATAGACAGAAGCAAATTAACGTACCAGCATATATTTGACACGTGGAAGGAAGCCCACGCAAGAACAGGGAGAACTTGGAAACTCCATGCAGACAGTATCCCGACCAGGATTCAAACCATGAACCCCAGTGTTGCAAGGCCGAAATGCTAGCAACGAAGTCACTGTTTATATCTGTTACAATTTACATTTCAGGATTAACGAGCCTTTAAATCTACTTTGGCTGCTTTATGTGGCAGGAAAAGTGTTTATTTACAGTATTGTATAAATGTTCTTCTACAGTGCTCAGCATAAATGAGTACACCCCTATTGAAAAGTAAGATTTTAAACAATATCTCAACGAACACAAGAACAATTTCCAAAGTTTTGACAAAACTGAGTTTTTTATAGAACCCTTGTTTAGCTCATTATAGAAAAGTAAGGTTAATAATATAACTTAGATTACAAAATCTTCAGTTTTACACGAATTAGTTGATGTGAAAATGAATACACCCCACAACAAAAAACTACTCCATCTAGTGTTTTGTATGACCTACATGGTTTGTAAGGACAACACCAAGTCTTTTTAGGCATGG